AAAAAAAAAAAAAAAAAAACGGTAAGAAACAGTGATAACAATTGTACACAACTGATATCAATTACTGCAGATACAGAAGTGTCAAACAGTTGTCAGACAGCTTACCTTCTTTCTTGTAGCATCAACGGCACTGAAACTAACAGTTTCTAAGTTAGCAGTAAGCAATACGATTAAGCATAGAAGAATTTGCATAATTTTTGCTTTGCTACAAACTGAATCTGTACTGCTTAATGAGCTTAATAAAGAAGAATAACCTGATAAAAAGGCATTTTTTTTTCTAATATCCGTCTTGTTACAAAGTTTTTTTTTTACTATACCCGTGAGATCTAAAAGTCTGTCAAAAAACTTATCCGATGACGTCAAACCTCAGGAAATTAAGTTTATTGCTTCACACAGTACAACGTCACTAAACCCCAAAAGTATCAGTTTTAAAACTGCGATTTCTTTTTTTATTTTACATAGGTGCTGGTAACAAACTCTTTAAACTGCAAAAACTTGTAAAATCAAAACAGTTGCTGCCGCTAACCAAATACAACATTTTTGATGACAATTGCAAGGCAACCATCGTCATTGACAACATCAGGCTAAGACTTGTAATGCCCTATAAAGATTATAGACAATAGAAAACCAAAACTCTAAACAAAATAACCATTCATATTAACCCGCTAAGCTAGTAAATTAATGCATCACTTTAGAGAAAAATGCCTAATTTTAGATGTATTTTAATGCTGGGAATAGCTATTAGCGGAACAAACAAAATAATTTAAGCGCTTCTTTTGGATTTTATCGTAAAAGTTTACTGACAGCATCGTTCGACGTAATCGTTTGTGCGGAAGTTGTTTTATAGAGTTTTATAAATAAATTAGAAAAACTGTTACTCAAAATTGCTAAGCTTTCTACGCAGATAACCATTATCTTATCACGATCTCCGATTGAAACTGCGAAAAAATTCACAGACTTTTGTACTTCTCTCGAGGCTTTGAAACAGGTTTGGCTTTAATAGTCGATAGTTAAGCTACGGCAGTACTTTTGTCATTTGAGCAATCCATCAATGTTTCCATCCACAATTTTTTTTTTCACTTCCTAATCGCTTAGCGATAGAGTAGTTAAAACATCTTAACTTTCTAATCCGCTTTCTGTGTGCTGTATGCTGATAAATTCCGTTGATCCCTTTTATCCCTCCATTTTACAACAAATCTTCTAGACGATAATAGCAGCAGCAAAGATATCAACTAGAATAAGTGACTTTAAAAATTGTTAAAGTGAATCATGAGAAATTCTTTATCTGATCATGATGAACTTGTGCCATGCTGTTCACAACAAGTAACCATAGGAGTTCAAAAGCAAAGTTTATTTAGCAGACTTTGCAATTTAACCGTTTACTATGAACAATTGGCCAGTCATGTAAAGACAGATATTCATATGATTAATAATCAACAAATTCATAAGGCTTCATCCTGGATCGTTTTCCAAATTGCAGTGCCTTCTGGAATCCTACTAATTTGTCCCTGTTAACTTCTCGTTTCCAAAAATTGCTCACATCATCGCTGGGGCTTGACCTCTTCCATAACTACAAAAGAATAGATAATAAAAAACCATTGTATTCACAAAAGTGATTTGTAATTCAAAACTGCAAAAAGTTATTTATCAGTATCTTCTTTTGTTGTTGTTCTGCAATAAAAGTAATGCAAATAAACTGTCTGTCTGGAATACTTTGAAGTCATTTTTATTTGAAAAACGATTCAAAAAGGTTTTCAATTTAGAATTTTGTTTTTGTTTATTAAAGCTTTACCGACTGTATTTCAACAGCCTTTTAGGATAAACAAATGAAGAAAGATATTTTGAAAAATCCACTCTTTTTTTTTTGTTTCAACTCTGTCCTCATTCAGTCAAAAAAGTTTATAAATTCTATTTGATTTTGTTGGCAATTTGGCCTAAACAGTGGTAAAATAGATAAAACTCCTAAAAGCGCACCACTTTTATAAAACAGTTAACAAAATTGAATTACCAAGTCAAATATTTCAGACTCTTTTTTTTCCACTACTTTATAAAACCAACATAGCCAGTATTATACAGAAAATTTTAAATTTCTGCTAAAATATGAAAACCTAAATGTAGTTTACCTATTGAGAAAAAAAGAGAAAAAAATTAGGGAAAAAAAACAGTTGACAAAAGTAATTTTCAGCGATGCTATTTTTTTATGTACAGTATTTATTGCAATTTAATTCGAACAAATCAGAGAAATAAAATAAATCAAAAAAAAAAAAAATTACAAAATTTCTTTTGAAAAAAAAAAAAGAAACCTACCAAATATGGTCTGACAATCCTGGATTTACCATCAAACAAGACTGGCTCAACCTTAAATGCATCAGCGTCATCGTACCGTCCTAAAACCTGATGGCCAAATAAGAACAGGAAAAAGTTTACCAGTACCAAATTGCGCATTTTTGCATCCATGAAACTGGCTAACCAATGCCGATACAAATGAAATCATGTGATACAAATGCGAACACTTTTAAAACTCCGCCTAGCTGAATGTCAACTAATGATGCTCTTGGGACAGATATGATAGAACGTCGCTTCCCATTTAACTTCACAAGTATTGGTTGCAAATTTGTAATTGAATAAAGGTTGTGCATCACTACTAAAACCCAATAAGTAAATCATTTTTTAATTTGTTTCAATATACGATATAAATAACTTTAAGGACGATTACTGCCAAATCAGAATGCCTTTAAAACCATCAAACTACTCGCTAAACTTTATCTTCTCCATTCAATTGACCTCATAAAGTTTTAACCTCCCACCCCCCCTTTTTTTTTTCTGCCTCTCCGCATCATGTCTCGTCGTAATAAAACAATTTAGCTGGTTTTAACTGAAAAAAAAAGAGTAAAATAAATTAAAAAAAAAAACAAATAAATAACACTAAACAATAAATGAAACGAAAAAAGAATTAATAGCCATAAAGATAAGAGTTTTTTCAACTTTGGCTATTTTACTCTCATAGCGCGAATTGTTTATGCGTTTTGTTAAGCCCTCTCTCCATAAAAAAAAAATTATTTTGACATAAATTTCATTTACTTTTAATACTCAAAACAAATAAAATTTTATGACTGAAAAAAAAAAAGGAAAAAGAGATGAAAAATCTGGAAAAAAAAAAGAAAAAATGAATATATAAAGAACGAAACTGCTATACGATTTACGAAATCCCTCAGACGGCGTCAATTACAAAAACAACAAAAAAAAAGTAATTTACGTTTCGTATTCAATAAACGGACTGCATTTGTAATGTTCTGTGTCAAGGAAAGAGAAAATGCATTTCAATTGAAGGAATACGAAGGAGGGAATAGTGCTATCGTAAGAAAAAATTAAAAATTTCTTTTTTTTAATTTTTTTATCTATTTTGAAGCACTCTTTTTACGAGAGTACAGACCCAAACTGTGACGTGTAATTGAGTTAGGGTAAAAACAAAATCATTTGAAAAAGGCTAGTTTTTAGTTCCCGTGTCGCAAAAATAAACCTAAAACTATCAGCAATGTCAGCGAAACCAAAAAACAACAAGAATGACAGTGACACGGAACAAACAGTGAAAAAAACGTTGGATAAGTTGCTTTTGAGAAAAATTTTAACTACAAAAGCATTTAAATTTGTACGCCAAAAAATACTTCAGTATACTGCAATTATCCTGCTGAGAAAACAAAAACAGCTTCTCAAACTGTATACCCTGTTATACACCCCATTTGTTAATGATGTAAAGTCTACTAAATAAAATTTACTATTTTTACTATCACCTCAACACCAAACTACTCAAACCTTTCAAAAAGTTATTCTTTTACGCTTCAATAACAATATTATGTTTCCGCCGTATAACCAATAACATTTTCCGTTTAGTGTCATTTATATAGAACTCCTTCAGTCATTTTGTTCTTCTGCAAACATAATTTCTATTCCCAGCCGTTCCTCCAACTCAGCTTAATTATCTTCAAAAATAACAGACTTTAACCTTAACAGTGAAAAAGGCGATAAGGAAGCAACAACAACAAAAACATGTCGAGCCACAATATAAACCCTGATAATTAAAATTCCAAAAAAAAAAAGATTTTTTTTTGTCAATACTCAAAAAAAAAAACAACGTCTTTCAAGCAAAGCGGACCAGAAGCAAATGTCTAAAGGGAATTTGGCAATTAATCCCCACCCTTGAGGAATAAATTTGAACTGCTGCTTCACATAGTTAGCTACAATCTTCCTCTACCCTCTCATCATTCATTTCATCTCCTTGAATCTTCCTTATCATACGTTTCATTCTTGTATATAAATACATAAAAACAAAACATACATATGTATATATGTATATACACAAAAGAGTTGTTCTCGTCTCTGTTCCTATCTTGGAAGGAATTCTATTTCCTAGCAATAATAAGAAAGAGGAGGATTTGGCTTAGAAACTCATCTATTCTTTTTCATCTTGAAATTATCATCCAGAAAACTGCTGGAATTACCGCAGCTGAAAGCTGATTTAAGGCAGTAAAATTACACTGCCGATGAGAATTGAATCTGTGGATTTTTGTACTAGGAACATAGCAGAGCTTCAAACAAAGTTATCTGTACTTTTTCACAGCAAAAATTTAATAAATTCGACACAGCTGCATTCGTAGACACATACTCTTTCAATTTGTTTTTCGTATTTTTGGAGAAATCTTATTTACTTCTTAAATAATCTATTTTTTTTTCTGCAATACTGCTTTCTAAAATTTCATATCTGTTAAAAAGTTATTTTATATATTATTTTATTGCAGTAGAAGGCCTTGTTTAGATAAATATAGGCATTTCAGAAAAACACTAATTTGAAGCATCAGAAGTTTCACTAAAATTGCACTTGGTGATCGGAGGAATTTAGAATTTTTGCTTGTGAAAGACAGGTACAGGTCTAGGTGAAAGAGGCCATTTAGAGGCCGTTATCATAAACAGCAATCGTTCGCGAAGTTGATGCTTATACTGAACCAAGTTTTCTTTTACTAACCGATGTTAACCATCTGATATCGGCCAACTGCTCAGTCTTTCACAAGAAGATTTTGTAAGTAAACAATAATTTTTACAACCTAGTTGGTATCATCAGAATTACTGATAGTAAAAATTGTATTGCTGCAGAGAAGACAAGTTTCAAGTTGGTTAGACAGTGATAGCAGTAAAAAGTCCAGTTAGAAAAGAGAAGAAAAGAGAAAACGCAAACTTTTTGTGACCAAAAACCTACAAAAATTCTTTCAATTTCTTACCAGATTAATACTCAAAGTGTAGAATTGGCAGAACGGCAGAAAAGTTCCTACGCATGTCAAAAGAAAATATTCTTCTTCTATCCCTTTCCTCTCTTTTTCTTAATAACTTTTCTCGTTCCCTATTAGAAGCTTCCACTGATTTAAAAGTCTCTCCTCCCCTTCTTGGTCGAAGACTCCAGAGAGAAAATACAGCTTTGTCAACTTTAACATATATATATATTTATTTATTTTTTTTTATTTATTTATTTATTTATTTATTTATTTATTTATTTATTCATTCATTCATTCATTCATTCATTCATTCATTTATTCAGTTATTTATTTATGCGACGACTCATTTTCAAACTGATCATAAGCATACATTTAATTAAAACTTCACTTTCTCTTCTCAGCAGGTAAAAAAAAAATTTACTGCATTTTGAAATTATCATTTAAAGAAAGATATTTTATCCTTCATTTACGTTCTTCATTTTATTTTTTAGCACGGGTAAGAGTGTGAAGACCAAGCGACATTCTGCTATGTTCAGAAGAACGCTTTTTGTTCACTGCTTATTCACAGATACAGTTAACAATGAGTAACTGCAGAAGAAGAACATGGTATCGGCTTGGATACTGCAATTACCGTAGTCATGTAGCAGCGTTGTCTTGCCACACAGTTCATCACTGAAGTGGTATTGGTTGTAAAACGGCTGTTTAGAAAACAAACAGCAGAAAATTTTCAAGCTATTGAGCTACAATTTTCAATTATTTAAGAACAGTATTTGGGACATTTGCCAATTTTTGAAAAAATTGGGACCTCGATACGACTATTCTGTACAACTTCAGCGAACTTTGTTTTTAACAGCGATTGTGATCTGATCCTGGTCGGTTGATTGAATTTATGGTGATTTTTATACTTTTTGTTACGTTGTTCTTCAGCTGTTGTTGGTCCTAATTCTTTTTGTTTACTTTTTTACCTTACTGAATCAGTTAGAAGGAATATGATGAAAGTTTGCTACACGAAGTATTGAGAGCTGGACATACAATGTTGAACAAGTTGTTCTTTTACTACGAAATGTCTGGTCACCAGACTAATTTATTTTGACAATATCAAATTTTGTTCGCCCATACCGGCTTTTCGTTATCACTCCTCAGATTACAGCAACGAAACTGTCGCCTATGATTGTAGCCTATGTTTACTCTGCTTACTACGTATGAGATTTCGTCGTTAAGATATAGTTCCAAGTAGATTGTTTTTCAAATAACATAAAGGAGAAATCAAATCAAAAGGGGGCAATTTTTTTTAAGTTGGGATTTTACTATGCTATAAAGCATATCGTACGGTGTTGTAATAAGTCTGACTTTTAATCGCTAAATTTATGAAGTTTTTAAAATGTTTTGATGATCTATTTATATGGTTGTTTTTAAGGGTTGTTGTTTATGACGTTTTTTCATTAGGAATGAATGGCTGCTATTTCTGCTGAAGTTTTGAAACGAAAACTTTAGAAGAAGTATGCTGATCCAATCATTATCTACCTTTTACGAGCAGTTACTTCCCTGTAGTAGTGACCAAGATTAATAAGATGCTGTTTTTGTAGATATCTTTTTTTTTTTCGGGTTTTCCGGTTCGCGTTTGGGACAGGAGCAGTTGGATTTGAACTGGATCAGTGTCAGCTGAGCTTGAGTTGTTTATACTTTTTACTTTTTTATTTTTTTTTACTTGTCCATCTGTTTGCTTATGTTACTTTAATTCACTTTATTTTTATTTTATTTTTTTTAATTGAAAGTTACATGGAGGAACTTCCTCTTCTGGAAACAGCAGTTCACAAAGAATAAAAAGAGAATCGTTCAGAATTAACAAAGCTTAAGCCACTAGGGTTGAAATTTTTTAAGTGGTCTTTAGAGTTTGATTTATATACCGAAATTTGCTTGATCTGGCTTTCTTCTTACTATTGCTCGTTGTTTGAATTGTTTTCAGTGTTCTTTTACTTTATTTACTTGATGAAATTTTTTAGTTTAGATGCGCCCGTTATCTTTGAAAGGCCATGATCGAGCGTTAACTCGAGTCCGTGTTAATCAAGATGGCGACATATTGTTTTCCTCTGGCAAGGATAAGTCACCATGCGTTTGGTATATGGAAAATGGTGAACGAATAGGAACATATGATGGCCATGGTGGTGTTATATGGGATATTGACGTATCATGGGACACAAAAAATCTTTGTTCCGCTTCTGGAGATTCGTCTGTAAAGGTAGATATGTCATTATTCGTGTGGATTTGTTTGATTGCTGTTCTTGTGCAAGAATGTTTGTTATGGTTAGTTTTCTGTAATCTGCTGTATTTTTTCAGTATTGGGATTGCGAAACAGGAAAGGAACTTAATTCTCTAAAAACCCCAACCCCAGCTCGTTCAATCGGGTTGTCTTACAGTGGTTATCTTATTGCTTTCACAACAAACAAAATGACGCAAAATAAGGCAAGTCTGAAGACTTTTAAGTTGCATTTGACAAAAGATGTGATAGTTTATGATGATCTGTTACTTAAATTTTCAGTTACGTTTCTTTATTTAGGCATCCTTGTGTGTTGTCGACACTCGTGATCATTTACAAATGACTGAAGACGGTAGAGTATGCGTATACAGGGAAAATTTCGATGTTTCTGCAAATGCTTGTGTTTGGTCTCATTTAGATGATCAGATATGTACTGGTAAATTAATTAGGCGTTTTATTTTTTCATTATATTTTCCTCATCTATAATCTATTCGAGAAATTATCATGCGAAATGATTTCAAAATATTTTATTTTTTTATTTTTTTTTACCTTGTCTACAGAAATTAAAGCATTGAATATTGGATCTTCATAAAAAATAGTTCAAAATATGTTTGTGAGACATTAACAGTAGTAGATTGTTTATTATTGTTTTTGATTAAACACGTCTTATTCACGGTTCAAATTTTCATTCTAAGCTTTCTTTTTTTTTTTTTTTTTTGCTGAAATTGTATTTTCTGGCTAGTTTGGCAGTTTTTTCGTTCAAATGTTTTTATTTTAAGAAAAAAGTTACAGATCTCTAAATCGCCTAAACATTATTGTATCTTTTAGCGTTGTTTTTTGTAGGAAATGAAAAAGGTGGCATTACCCTGTACGATTTGCGAAAGAAAGAACTCAGCAATTTTAGTGAAATGGTTCATAAGTTCCAGATTCATGATATGCAAATGAGTGCTGACCAGAATTTTTTAATAACAGCTTCTAAGGACAAAACTGCAAGGCTTTTTGATGCTCGTTCTCTGGAGTGTTTGAAAGTTTATAAGTTAGCTCATTTGTATTAAAAAAATTTTTTTCTTGATGTTTCTGGCATTTCTTCCTCTGTT